TGGCAACGCCTTCAACCTGAAAGAAAAAGAAGACAAAATCTATTTTTTTCTGAGGTCGTTCGAGCCCACCTTGCTAAGAAAATTCCTAAAAAAATCGGAGACTCTCGGGCGGTCAGTTCTTTTAGCTCCGCCTTGTAGCACTAATCCTGCGTCAACGAACGACTATCCGCTCTCCTCTCTCAATCACCTTCTGGAGAAGAAATCTCACTTGAATCACCATAAAGTCAAAATCGACATCCAATATTTCTTCGATCAGAACTCTATGAAATTCTACAAGAGAGACACTGAATACCCACCCTCGCATTGGTTATATGTTGGTAATAATGGTGATGTATACTATGCTGAATAAATACATCAGAGAAATAAGATAAGTAATTAAATCGAAAAACACCAAAGGTTCTCAAAAATTATGGACCGACCTAATATTAATATTCAGCAAAAATATCATCTAATCCAGCTATTTGATCATCTTCACCAATTTCATTCATTGATCAATAATTATTAAATGATTCCCTTCAGAATCGGCTCATTTATAGAAAGAAGTTAAAGATACCTCTTTCACAGAAGATGCCACCCCAGCCCGGCTCACAAGCGCAAGTGAACGGCTGGTTGTCACGACACTTTCCATGACGGCAGTTCTCACTACGACGACACTAAATCAGAACGGTTACAGTAAAATCAATGCGAGATATTAGAAATTTCAAAAGGTTGGCTGTCTAACCTCTTTGCAAGTGAGTCCGAAGAAACCGTGATCGCATTCACATCTGCCCGGCTCCACGCAGCGTCCATATTGGCAGCCGTCACGGCATATGGCTGAATCAGAAACCAGTTTGAAAACAGAGGTTAGGAGTGACTCGGTGATTTGTGATTAGAAAGGCATCGGAACGTGAGTAAGGAATATTACTTCACTTCTAGAAATTTTTCTTGATGCAATGTGCCAAGTTATTTGATTAATCCAAAAAATCTATAACAATGCCTAGTTCCCTGCGCTATCCCGAAAGAGTGACGCTAACGAAGGGCCGAAATAGAGACCAAAATATTCCCACTGATATTGGCAATAAACGCTTATTGTGGAAAAGTCACGGTTCAAAGATGATCAGCATGCTTTTGGTCTTGACTGATTGCACCAGCGTGAATACAAAGCTTATGGTTAGTCCAAGTGTTCAAAAAACAATAATCAGAAAAACAAATGCTATAGTTTTCATGTTCGGGAAATAGAATGAACTGAAGGAATCTGTATCACAGGAAGATCTTTGGGTAGGACACTTTGAAGGTCCTAAGAAGAGGTAATACAGGGGTTATCACACATAAGAGTTAAAAATCGCGCTTGCATCGCATTCTGGTCACTCTTTCAACATTTAGTTTCAACCAAAGCAGAGTTGTGGATGCACGATCAGCAGATTCTTTTCACTGTGCATTCCCACGGTCATCCGTTTATTCGGCTTCCCTCCAGCCAAACGGCCTTTGATCCACCGATGTGAACCCAATTAGTACCAGCTTTGTCTGAGAGGACACAGCTGTAACGGCTACAGAGGTTGAAGTTGTTCAATACCGCTACTGTTCTCACCGAAGGAAGCTCACAGGAAGGAGGGGGGAGGTGGAGGTGGTATCATAGTGGATTTCCGTAAAACTTTCTCAGTTAGCACTCCACACGGTGGCTCTTGATTAAACATTGTCAAGCATTTTACCCGCAGTTGGTAAGTCTTACCAAGAGGCGATTGAAAAGTTAGTTCAGATTTGCTCATTCCGGTAAGATCTTCCAGTAGAAATGCGCTTATGCTCATAACTCATTTGGTGATGATTGAGCAGACCCTTTTCCGTCAACGAAAAAGCTTCTGTTTTGGCAAGCGAATCGGTGTTTTTGCTTTTAGAGGAGAAAAGCGCGTTTCCATTGACACTACGATGTCCGGTGACAGAAGCGGCGGCACCTGTGAAACCGGCGCACGCGGCAAACCGAAGCAGCTGCTGAAAATGGCCTGGCTGGTGGATACGATGAATGGGATGCGGAAAGAGACGAACAGACGGACATACGCTAGACAACCTGTCTCTTTGAAAAACCCATCGCAGTAATGTCCATAGGTGGGTTCTACCAATACCATCTTTCTTTTGGTTCGGTTGGAGTCACTCAAGAAAGCGTACCGGTGACCGGGTGAGGCCAATTAAATCTATGCGTCGACGAGCACGAACAATCGAGTCTTGCGGTGAGCAGGAAAGCGTGAGCCGCACCTCCTCATGCCTTGCCTGGCGTCGCTCGTTGTCATATTTACAACTGGCTCATAAACAGTAAAAGTGTGCGGAAGTACGATGAAACGTATGCTAATTTACGACCGACACGTGTCTTCAGGTCACTACTGCTGCACATATGGGCGCGGAGGAGCTACATAACAGCTTCGCGTATCTGCAAAATGCGCTCCAAGAAAGTATGCCTCATTTTTCGGGTATCATGAATCGCTTGCGGGGACTTCGATGCGCAGTCTCCAGCTTATCCCTCGGACTTCGGCTTTTCCAAGTCTTTTGGTAATCGGTCATAGTGATAGTTATCATTCAAATGGGAACCCCGCAGTTCCACCTGTAGGAACCCATTTTCAATTCTAATGCTGTCTGATCTCTAATTCCTACACGTACCTTTTTATCAGAGGATTATATCGATTACTAATGAATTTTGCTACAGATTTGGACACTCACGTTGATCACACTGCTCGCCAGACCATCCCTCTTGACAGATTCGCTTTCCTTCGGCGTCGCAGGTGTAACTTATTGACGATTTACAGTAACGCTGACACCCATTACCGTAATAAAACCTGAAACTGCCAAGTGAGGATGGAAAGGTGAAAGAAGAAAAGGATTACTCACTGATGACAGGTTGACCGAAAGGCGATGTCTAGGAAATCCGACGAAACTTCAGCTGGAACAAACTCAGAGCCGATAACGAAACGCTCCTTGGAAGTGTTGTTGTACAGAGACACTGCAAAACATGGATTATTTCTACTGATTCCACTAATTCTAGCAATTTCTGAAAGTTTATTGTCCTCTGAAAGATTCTTCTACGCCTTGTGAGCGTAAAATATCAAATCGAATGGGCTAATGGTGAGTTCGAAGGAAGCAGGCGTCGAAGAGCTGGTATCCTTACAAGGTCTGTCCCCCCATTTTGAGTGGCCTCTCATGTATCAAGGGCATTTTTACGGTATTTGAAACAAGCGCAGTGCTTGCTCAGAAGTTACAGATTTTTTACTCGAAGAAAAAAGAATTCAAAGCCGATCTGGACGTATTGAATTACAGTAACCGCGCCTCCATATTTGGGAATGGTTAGAAGCCTTAAACTATTGAAATTCGAAGTCTTGGAGTCTCCTTTCCTCTTCGGTATGTTTCGTTCGGCACAAACAGTAGCCAATCGTTTTCCTCAGAATGACCCTTGTTTGGCGCACGCCAATGTTGACCGACTATGATAATCCATGTTCGGAACAACCCCTACTGATAAGAGCAGCATTGATTGATAGGCGAGGCAAATAAATTACATTTTTTATGAGCCGGATACGACTACGGCTTTGAGGCGCGCAATCCTGCAGGTGTTCCGCTGCATAAAACTTTCAAAATGCAGGAACTTTCCCGTACTTTCACCCAAATGGACAGACTCAGCCCAACAAACATTCTGTAACTTCACTTTCGGCTTTCCAAAGATCCGAAGCCTCAATACACCCTAAGAGCGTGCCACTCGACTACGGAAACGACGCTAGCACCAGTCGTAAAAGCACACAGCAGGTGGTTTACCTACCCCAATACGGTATCTTCGTCATAAAGTACAGATGGACACGTTATCTAGCAATCTATGTTGACACCTCACCAAACGGATGAGCCTTTAATAGTGCCGATGGCAAGTTGCCAAACCAAGCACGTCCAAATTAAGTAAGGGTAGTCAATGCGCACACACACGACATCAATTAAGGAACTCAACGCGTGTATGGTACGGTAGCCGTGATAAAGGCGCACTGCTTACGGGGTTTCGTTTGAAACGCCTATGCTATTTAGCCCAGAGTTCTACGAAATCGCCTCTTTCACTTCGGAAGTTGACAAATTTGAATTCGTTCCAAGCACAGAAAGGAAGCGTTCATGCTATGGCAATAGCGGAGGGAGACAGAAATTAAACATCCGCTAAGCCACTAATTTGTCCAGGACTATTTATTCTAGCTGAAAATTAGGGAAGCAAACTCTTCGAGGCTCCTCCCAAGACCCCATCTCGGAACCGAAGTAATTCGAGAAATTCTGGAAGATACTTGAGAAAAAATTAAGACCAAGATAATTCATAATATCACAGTGTTCCCCCGAACCTCCATTCTTATTCATCACTATTAGATTGAACCAGTTCTTGAACACGGGAAAAAACCACTTTGAATTTGAAATCATGTAAGAGACAATTTGTGCAGAACCGGAAAGCACACCCGACCAGCGCTTCAATACATTCAGCTTGCTATTTGAGTTCTTTTTACTCTAGGAGGGGTCACCTAAAGGCTTGACAACCTAAATTTTGGAAAGAGCACGTGGGAAGCACTGTTCTGATAGCTTCTTACCTAACTGCTAAATGCGGTTGACAGGCGAGCTATTCCTGCTCCGTGTTTGAAGAGAGTCAAAAGAGTTACTCTTCTGAAGCGATGCTCAGAAAATTGTAAAAATCGCTAAGAAGAAGGATGCAAGCTCACCTCGTTCCGTATCGAGGATCTCCATGGCCAGAATGAACGTCTCCTGAAAGGGTAACATTAGAGCGCTCCCACAAAGTACTTTTCCACAACAAAAACAATGAGCATGGGAGCCAGCCCTCCTCCATTCTCTTCTTAGTCTCCTTACCGGGAATGGGAAGTAGAACGGCGTGCTGACCACTCGTTGTTGCTGCGACTGAAGCTGGATGAGCTGAGATTCTAAGAGGCAGCTGTCGAGAGGTTTAGCATGAGGTTTCTTTACGCAAAGCTTCACGAAACACGGTCGTGATGAGATAAGCCGGACTTCTAAGGAGCCTGAGGAGGACACCTAAAAGAAGCTTATGAATGGCAGCGTTGAAAGATCAATGGAGACTGAGGCCATACAGGGTTCTACAAGTCATAAAGTATCAGTTCAGTTGTAATAAAAGGCCCGTTACTGGCACTATTTCATGAACTGAAGAATTATTCAGTCATCGAAATTCACAGAAAGTTCTCCACTCACCAACTGAAGAAAAGCAGCCAGCAGCAGAATCGGAAGAAATACAGAAATGTACATAGTAGTTAGCATACACGACGAATGTACATGCAGAATCTAACCTGAAAATGGGACCCAAATCAATAACGAATAGAGATCGAAGGTGGGAGGAGATCATGAAGAGGGCGGCATCAAGAATCTGAATGAGGCACATCCGGTGCGCTTGACCGAAATCGGACTGAGACGATGAGGAGGGCGAAGTAGCTGGAATAGGCGGTGGAGGTGGTGGCACCGCCCCATTCGTCCGTCACCTACCGCGCGCGCTCTTCTCGCCCTTCCACCCGCCCTATGCTTTGAGCGGTAGGCCTAAAAATGGTTTGCATAGGTTTTCGTGATGATTTGTGAAGTATTGCATCCTTTATCCGTGAGAAAATATCGTGCACGAGAGCGCGAGGCGGAATCAACGTGCATATAGGATGCAATTTTAGTGGACTCTATCCTGAGGTTGTCTCCAGGAAGAAGAAAAGTGCTTTGGACAGCCAGCGCAAAAAGCAGAAAAGGGATAAGAACGAGACAGGCAAACGCAGAACCGAGAAGTAATTGAGTGGTCCAACGTCACATTAATTAGGATGAGCCATGCACTTGACCATTGCTGGGAATCGGAGGTTTTCTGGAATCTGTGGCACGATATCGGAAGTATTGCATGAGCATGCGTAAGCCAAAATTCTCTTTCCTTATTTCCTCTACATTTTATTTCACTTAATCCCTGAGGGAGTGATCTGCTCGGTTTTTTCAATCAAAAAGCTGGAAAGGATGTTGTACTGGAGCTCCTAAGCTCGATCTCACAAGAGTACAATGAAACTATCTTATTGGGAATTCTTTTATATCATATGTAATTCAATGAAAGAGCCACCAAATGAATGTTTTGGGAAATTCAGGAAAAAATTAACTGCCAAGAATGACAGTTCGACAGCGCTCAAGAATAATAAGAGTAAGTACAGTATCGTGGCAAAGGTACCAGTGACACCTTTGACGCTGCCGATAGCTCAGTCAGCTCCTTTGCCTCTCTTTGCCGTTCTAGCACCCAACGTGAACTCGTGTAGAAAATGGATATGCTTTCGGCTTTGAATGCACCATATCGTACAATAGTTTCTATTACATTGAGTTTTGTGCGCAGTGGTTACAGATGACGAAGCAATCGTGCAGAGCCACCTGGATTGATCCTCCTCCAAGTCAAAACAGAAAAAAAAACCGCCGCCGAGACCGCTGTGAGACCGGCTTGTGCACCTTCAGAGCGGTAAATTTGTTCAGAAGGATGAAGGTTCAAAGAACCCCATTCTTTTCCATTTTCTACAACATTCAGGAGAACAGAAAGGGGGCCACATCCATCACGAGATAAACATCAATGGTATGATAACTGTCGAGTATTTCATCTCTAAATCTTTGCCTTGCAATTACCACCGTTGCAGAAAACCTTTCGAATTTACACGAAAGAAATAGTAACGATTTTCCTGACGATACAAGCAAATTTTGGGCATATCTTTTCACAGGCTGAAATCTGGTTATTGTTAAGAGATAACGAGGGCATATATACTTGTTATTATTTTGGAGAGCTAAAGGGGTGGACGGATCGTCTTTGGAGCAAAAGCTCTGCCGCCAATGAGATTGAACTCCCAAGGTGTCAGGGCACAGCTCATCCATCTTCAACCGACACTGATACGCGCTCGTGAGTGTCACCAACGGCCATACTCATAGCGGCTTTGAGGCGCCATTGCTTTGCGCCCACAACAACACCGCGGGATCTTGCGGCTTCGCTCTGTCGACAGTCGATGGCACCACCGGATATCATAGAAAGGTGCTCAGATTCAATGAGCGAGAATAAAGTTGATAGTGAAGTTCCACGAAAGGTGTGGTTTCAAGACGTTCGGTCAGACGCAACTGATCGTTTGGACATTCGTACTGATGTTGAAAGTTTGCCAATGTTTGTAAAAGTGATTTCTTTCAAGAGTTAGTCCGAAATTGCCTATATCCTGGGCGCTCATTCCGGTAAGGGAGACATTCAAGTGAGTGGTTCATTTGTAGTAATTGGGACTAAGCCTTAGGAAGGGAAATGGATATTAGGGGACGATGTGAGCAATTTTGTTTTCCCTGCTGCTTTCCTCTCTTCTGGGCTCAGTCGTAATGTCACCTCATCGCGGTTCTTGAGTGATTTGAATGCCCCAAAGCCATTTCTTGTTCCAACCTGAACTTAACGCACATCGCACTGCCTACTTATCTGAACTAATCGCATTTGGAGTCAAAATACAGATCGGTCGGACATTCGTACTGATGTGGACAGTTTGTCAATTTCTGTAGAAGTGGTTTCTTTTGAGAATTTTTCCAAAATTGCCCAAGTCCTGAGCGCTCATTCCAGTGAGGGGACATTCTAGTGAGTTATCCATTCACAAGACCTGGGACCAAGCAAATTGGAGCAGCCAGCACAGGCCATTTCGAACGGTTAGTTGAGATCTGGCCTAGTCGGGGTTTGAAGCACGTTTCTGTGGTTGGAGACCCATTTAAGATAGTCTGAGACGTCTGAGACAAACCTTCAGGCACGATCAGGCAATTAAACATGCCCTCTAGGATTCTTCATGTTACTACAGCTATTAAATCGGGCAATATAGTCTCCGTGCTATCAATAATGACATATGCGGCTCTTCTAAGGGTCGCAACACAAACAATTCCGTCTCGTGTGTCCATCAGAATTTAACAACCCGGCTATATTTGGCACAACTGAAATTCCCTTGAACACCTTCACTGAATGAATGTGCGAAAATTCTTTGTCCGGTGATACCGGTGATAGCGCGCTGATTTACTCATGTCCACAGCGTCGTGTGGACATGAGTAACTCTGCGCGCTATCACCGGTAAAGGTTGGATGACAGGAGGGGGGGGGACAGGACTAGGTAAAAGGAAAATGTGAGACTGGATGTGATCACGCTTCCGTAGTGCTCGGATAGCCTCTCTCTCACCGATGGAGCCGCTAAAGTA